AAAAAAAAAGTGTTTTTTTAAAGAAATTATTTAAGAAATTAATACTTTTATTCAGCAAGAATGCATTCAATTGATCAAAATGTTACAGTAAAGACTTTGTTCAGATCAAATTCGAATAAATGCTGTTAATTTAAACTTTCTATTCAGCAAAGAATGCAGAAAAAAAAAAGATCTTGGATTCCACATAAATATTAAGCAGCACAATTACGATTAATGTTTCAGACTGTATAATATATGCATATTAGAATGATTTCTGAAGGATTATATGACACTGAAGACTGGAGTAATGCCTGCTAAAATTCAGCTTTGCAACACAGGAATAAATTGTATTTCAAAATATAATGAAATAGAAAACAGCTACTTAAAATTGCAATAATATTTCACAAATTACTGTTTTTATTGTATTTTTGATCCAGTAAATGCAGGTGAACATAAGACACTTGTAAGAACCCTTAAAACAATCTTACTGAACCTAAACTTTTGAATGGTAGTGTGTGTTTGTGTGTTATTTATTTATATGAAAAGCATAAACACACACACAAAACATAAAAAAAAAAACATTAAAAAAACCCCCAGCTTTTGCATGGTACAGTGTGTATATATAATATACACATAAACCATAACTGGAATCTTAAATTCCTGAATGGGAAATTCTGCTTGACTCCACTAAATTTAAATCAGCTGCGCCCTAAAATACCAATACGTTTCATAATAAATTTTCAGGCCCCCTTCAAATGACTCCGAGCAAGCATGCCGGGTGTCCATACGAACATTTGTCAGAGCTGGCCCAACTGTCTTGGTTTTGGTCAGAAATGTGGCATTCCCAGCCTTCACAGCTGCCTCCCCCAGTTGGGTCCAGGTCAGCAAAGTGCCGCGGCCATACTTCTGCTCCCTGGCCCCCGGAATGAGCTCTCCCCTGCAGAGAGGACACTTCGGCTCTCAGGCGGAGGGATTAGTTTCAGGCCAGCAGAACTCCCAGTGGGGGAAGAGCACTGAAACTACAGAGGTTAGAGCCACTGCTTCCTTCCAGCCGGCTGACATTTGTGAAGCCAGGAGCCCACATAAACAAAAACACATTAGGCAAATGTCTGGTTGGGGTTGTCTGTTTAAATTGGCCAGATGAAAGCCACTTTGATTGGGGCACTGCCATTCTGCACAATGGCAGTGGGCAGTTCCAGGGAAGGGGCAGGCGCATGGAAGGAATGCAAGAGGGAGAATATGACTGCGTCTCGGCGTAAGGGAGAAATGGATCCATGTGCGCCTCAGTGGGTAGTGTAAATGTGCTAGATGATACCACAGCTTCGAAAAGTGCAGCCTCATTGATATGTAGGCACCATAGGTTAAAGCAATGCAGGGATCATGAAAGGCCTTTTGTTCTAAACATAAGTTTTCTCTCAGCATAAAACAACTACTTCATGGTTTATTAAAATGCATTTTAGTACACAAACAAACAATACAGTGGGCCCAAAAACAAATGAATGAATGACTAATATATAACAAAATATAAAAAGTGGGGAACAAAAGTTTAAAAGGGGCCATTTATTTAAAAATGATTATTTTTCTTAAAAAAAATATAAAAAGTGGGGAACAAAAGTTTAAAAGGGGCCATTTATTTAAAAATGATTATTTTTCTTAAAAAAAATATAAAAAGTGGGGAACAAAAGTTTAAAAGGGGCCATTTATTTAAAAATGATTATTTTTCTTAAAAAAAATATAAAAAGTGGGGAACAAAAGTTTAAAAGGGGCCATTTATTTAAAAATGATTATTTTTCTTAAAAAAAATATAAAAAGTGGGGAACAAAAGTTTAAAAGGGGCCATTTAATTAAAAATGATTATTTTTTACTTAAAAAATATGCTTTTTCAAGCACATTTAAGCACAAAATATGCTTATTTCTTATTATACACACACACACACACACATGCACACACACACACATACACACATAAAACTGCTGTCAAATCAATTAATCACCATTAATTGCATCCAAAATAAAAGTTTGTTTGTGTTTACATAATATATGTGGGTGTACTGTGCATATTTATATGTATATATAAATATACACACATACATATCTATATTTAAGAAATATACACATATTCACAAATATACACAACACACACATATATTATGTAAACACAAACTTTTATTTTGGATACGATTAATCACGATTAATCAATTTGACAGCACACGCACGCACGTGGGGACTGCAGGCACAATGTCTGCCCCCACAATGTCAAAAATTTCAGGTCTTACTTTTGTGGGGACATTTGGTTCTCACAATGTAGCATAAACAAGTACACACACACACACACAAATATATATACATATATATATAATCCATTAAACAATTGTATATGGTACATAATATATGTGGCATGATGTTTATGCCACAGAATATTTTACATTTTGTTTTAATAGAAAATATTTGAGCGGCCAAAAGTGCCCTTTGAGTTCAGTCTTTGATCTTGCGGGGTGAATTCCGGAAATCATTATTCGATACACTAGCTATTACCTCGCGATGGGGGTAGATAATTGTCATTAAATGAAAGACAACGATGGCTACTTAGCTCGAAAAACACTTGTTGCTGACGTTAACGGGCGCGATGACGCTAAACTTCAAGTTCTCGTAGGACGCGGATGTGATGTCATCACGGACAGTGGTTGGCGGTCTCCATAACGACGCCTCGTGCTGCAGTGACGCCAGCTCCGACTCGTGGTGAGGGGGCGTGACTCAGCCAGTGCCCGAGACACCCCATTACCCTCCTTCCCCCGGCAGTGTGGGCGGCCCCGAGAGAGAGAGAGAGAGAGAGAGAGAGAGAGAGAGAGAGAGAGAGAGAGAGAGAGAGATGGGGGGAGGAGACAGTGAGTAGTTTCAGACTAGGGAGAGTGGAGGAAGGAAAAAAGTCGGTGTGAAAAAGAGAATGGGAAACTGACTGATATACTGCGAATGGCGAGCCTCAGGAGAGCAGATGACAAATTAACACAAGGATAAAATGTTGCGAAAACCATCAATTGGGCACAAGAGCGCGCGTATGTAACAGAGAGACGCTGAGTGCTGCTTTTCTGCCGTGTTGGGATTGTATCGATCGCTCCCGGGACAGACGGGAAAGCGCTGTTTCGGAACTCCGTTGCACCTCGTCCCGTCGCGCCAGTGGAAGTAAGTTACTGAGCCGCTTTCCCAAACTCAGCGCTGTCGGTCGGAGGGTTTGGAGGGATCGTGTAAAGAGGCCAGAAAACACACAACGGGAGCAACAAGAGCGCTGAACATTGGACAAAAGTTTGGCCTTTTGGAGACGGGGCTGCGGGAGAGGCCGAGTCTCGCCACTGCTGAACTGACAACTTCACCCAGCTTGCTGTGTGTTAGGAGCAGATAACTTTCACCATGAAAACCCAGGGGGACGCGGGTAAGTTACCCAGGCATTCATTATCAAGGGCTGCCACAACTTCTTTGACTTGTGAGCTTGTCGAGCCAGATTATCAAGTATGGATTTAACAACACTCAAACCAGCTTTCTTTACATTATCAATTTCTTTACATTTTCAACGGGAAGCAATGTCAAAATTCACGTATGTAGTTTCATGACAACTGACTTTTACTTTTAGAAAAGCTGACAGTGTGTTTCCAGGATTTATTACTCTGACATGTCAACTGATTCACTACTCGGATATTTTTGTTTGTTTGGTTTCCATGTTTACATTATCAGGTGAATCTAATGTTTTTAACTCATGAACTTGAACGGCCGTTTTCAAATCTTAAAACTTAACAAACAATGCGGTTAATTGTTAATTCATTTAAATAACCTCAAGTGTTGCGGTATAGTCTAGACATGTAACGTTAGTCCAGCTCAGCGCGTCCGTTCTAGTAGTTCTAATGGTTTAAATAGTTTCATTCAAACCTAATGACCGCTTCATTTAAGCTGCTTCCAGTCCTGTCAGCGCATTCCGCACTGAACCTGTTGAATGGCTACAACTTTCAAACGGCAGTTTGTGTCGTTCTTGGAAATATGTCGAAATCGACGCTGTGGATTCCCCGCAAAATGTTAAATACTCCTTTCCCCCCCCAAAAAAAATTCCTCCTCGCACACCGCGCGTGCCAGCTGTGCAGCTCAAGCGCGAGCTTTGAACCAGTAGCATGGCACATTCAAAATGGAAGCCCCGCTTTCACACCGGAGTGTTTAATAAACGTTTATCACTTTGTTTATAAATGGGCCACTTTACAGTCGGTCCAGTTTCTAGGATTTTAAATATAGACCTTTAAGCTTTGATCTTTAAGTGCATTGAAGCCTAATAACACAGAGCTGCGCACTAATTTCCCGTTAGGTGAAACGATCGCCTACATTTATGAATGCTTTCCAGTATTTTGAATTCACTTTAATCACTATTAGCATACTTGCCGTAAGTATTCATTTCCAAACATGTATCTACATGTTCAGTATGTACTTGTGAAGTTGCTACTGTCCCGCCAACTCCAGGAGTTTCAGTAGCCCTGTTCAGGAGGCCTATTGTGGCATGTTTGGGAATCCATGTTGAGACGCTCTCGCTTTCTCTCTCTCTCAGTCACGATTTTCTCAGCGGTCGTGCGTCGCCACCCGCACCGCTCGAAGTTTTACGGACTTTTATCTAGTTACATTCCATCAGCACTGCGAGCGTGCTCGTCATTACCCAGTATGCAAGCGCGCAATGCGTTGTAGCTTTGTCTCGCGCTGTTGACCGGCCTTAAAGGGGTCATATGATGCGATTTCAATTTGTCCTTTCTCTTTGGAGTGTTACAAGCTTTTGGTGCATAAAGAAGATCTGTAAAGTTGCAAAGACTAAAGTCTCAAATCCAACGAGATATTCTTTATAAAAGTTAAGAGTCAGCCACACCTACCTAAAACGGCTCATTCTAACACGCCCCCACATGTCTACATCACGATGTGGGAAGATTTGCATAACGCCGCCCAAATGTTCACGCAAAGAAAGAAGGCGTAACTTTTATTCTCGCTGTAGTATTGTTGTTGCTGCCGCTGCCATGTCGTGAAGACGCTGTGTGCTTCCTTGTGAAAGCGAAACTACGTTGTTCCAATCACAATGCACTGGATAGCTGGCCAATCACAGCACACCTCGCTTTTTCAGACCGATGAGCTTTGTAAAAATCAACGTGTTTCAAAAAGGCGGGGCATTGAGGAGAAACAATAATGTACAGTATGCGGAAAATACTGTTTTTTTTTTACCTTAAACCGCATAAACACATTTCATTACACCAAATACACAAAATAATGTTCTTTTTAGCAGCATCATATGACCCCTTTAATGAAGTTCATCCGGCTCTGCGTGAAGTCTTAGCACTTCGTGGATCACTTTCACTTTTATAAACTCTACCTTTCCCTCCCCTCACAAGTAAAGCTTATTGTTTTAGCCGAACTCTACATTTTTGTAGTATGTAGTGTGTTCAATTGCAAGTACGTTTGTGTATAATCTTTTCATTTTAAAGAATAACAGTGACATCTTGGCAAAGTGCAAATGATTAGGCCCCTATTTCTGAAATCCCTCTAGTCTAGCGCCAAAGCTTGCCTTTTCAGTTTGTGTGTATGAAAGCCTGGGTTAGCTAAAGTTATTTTCTTTAAATTTTCGATAAATAATATTACTTTATTATATCCCGAAGACTGTCTGTGTGTTTGCATGTGTGTGAGTTGTCAGTGAAAACTCCCTATAGGGCAAGTCTTAAAGGGGTCCTATTATGCTCTTTTACAAAGTCTTGATTTTGTTTTGGGGGTGTACTAGAACAGGCTCTCATACATTATTTTTCACATATTTTACATTATTACAACACCTCTCTCCCCAGTCTGGCATGAACGGCTGGAATAGTTCCTGTATCAAATGAAGGCCCGCCTGCTGAAAGACGAAATGTGCTGTGATTGGTTAGCTGGGCCAGTGTGTGAGTCTGGCATGAACGGCTGGAATAGTTCCTGTATCAAATGAAGGCCCGCCTTCTGAAATATGAAATGTACTGTGATACTCGTTGTCTTCTCTAGTGCAGCTCAACCAGGTCTCGTCCCATTCGTCGATCTTTGTGATATCACAAATCCCGGAAAATATGCGTTGTAGTCCAAACGAGTCGTTCGTTGTAGTTTTTGAAAAGTGATTTCTGTTAAATAAAATATCTCCTTTTGAAGTGGACATTGAGCTTTGTAACTTTGCAGATCTTTTTTATGCTCAAACAGCAACATTACAGACTAACTAAAGTTGAAAAAGTGAAAAAGCATAATATGGACCTCTTTAAATATCTTAAAGAAATGCATTACCTCATAAGTTCATTAGGCCTATATGTGCTGTGATACTAGTATCAACACATTTGAAAACCACATGTCACTTTCAGCTGTGATTTGTTTAGACAACATTATTCAATCTTTTTCCTAAATGGAGTGCATTTTTATCTAGGAAGGTGCGTAAAATTGAAATTTGATGTGGTTAACTTCTTGACCTGCTCTAAAATACTTACTTTCATCAGTAGCATTGGTTTTCCCTTTTTGCAAGATAAAAGTTTCATATCACACATATCTCATCTTAAATCGACAGAGGATGTCATTTTTATTTATGTTGACTTTGTGAAGCTGAACGTTAGCGATGAGGTGCAGAGACAGGATGAAATGTTGCTTTAAGTCAGGTGGCAACAACTACTACAAGTACCTTGCGGTTTTATCAGTCTATGGCTGTGCAGGCCACATTCTGACCTCGATAGTTACGAGGTGAGCTCAGCTGCTGAGTATGCAAGCGAGTGAGCGAGCAAGAGAATGCGACAAAGATACAGTACTGAGTATAGGATGTGGTTTCCAAGTGCTTCACTCTTTATCAGATTTTAGTATCTCTTCAGTCTGTGTTCTTACCTGCAAACACCCACAGCGGTATACATGCGTAGTGCATTTTGGTGAGAGAGCATTTTCTCTGAAAGCCTTGGTTTGTAATGAGAACAGGAGGTGACAACAGCATTGGTACGGTGTGCATCCTGATAAAAGTCATGTGTGTGTCTGTGAGAACTGCTTCACTCTTTATCAGATTTTAGTATCTCTTCAGTCTGTGTTCTTACCTGCAAACACCCACATTTGTAGTATACATGCGTAGTGCATTTTGGTGAGAGAGCATTTTCTCTGAAAGCCTTGGTTTGTAATGAGAACAGGAGGTGACAACAGCATTGGTACGGTGTGCATCCTGATAAAAGTCATGTGTGTGTCTGTGAGAACTTGTAAAACTGATACTATCAACTTCCTCAAAAAGCTCTCGCCACTTGAATCACATTAGATAAGAGGCACTGCTCTTATCAGTTCCTCATTCTCTGACTGCCACTTTGCATGAATTCAGAAAATGATGCGCACCTCTTCAGGCTTTCTTCTTTTCCGGGTGGTGTGTGTCTGCATAAATAGGCTTCAGCTGACCCTGGCTGATCTCGTTTCCTCTGTAACATCTGAAAGTGTCTGTGGTTTAACTATGGTCTTACCCATCAGGCCTCAGTTTGTATTTAGTACAGCAGTATCCTGAATGGCTAACCCTGTAATTTGTGCGCTGTCTCATGAGATGGTTGTTAGTGAAGAGTCAGTGGTTAAGATTGCAGCTTTAATTTGTAGTATTGGCTTGTTATTTTTCATAGAGGCAGGTGTTGGCCATCAGTGTCAGAAATGTATTCAATATTCAGTATTTGCCCCCACAGGCATTTTTAACTCTTTTTTTTTTTTTATTTTAATTTTTTTTATTATATTGTGTCAACCTTGTCAAATAGCCTAATTTTTAAATTAAGTTTACTTTAATCAATCCATTTAAATAAATTCTCAGTGGGAATAATTACATAAGCAGTTATTCATTATTAAAATATATTCAGCACAGTTGCTAGTCTGATATTTCTTTTACACAATAGTTAAATAAACAAGAAATTAATATTGAGTAACTTACATTTTAGAGAATATTGACAGTTATCATATTTATTTTTGTCTGTTTTGTCTAACGTAGGGCTGCACGATTATGACAAAAATCATAATTGTGGATTATTCCCTTGAAATTGTAATTGCGATTATTAATTACGATTATCACAATTTACATTGAATGATGTTTATACCATTGTTTGTTGCAACTGCATGCCATATTTTTATATGAAAATAAACAAGCTGAAAACACTCTAACTGAAAAAACTTGTCTATAGTATTAAGCCTCAGATGTCAAATATACATCGGATTGGTTTCTTATAAAAATATGAATGGTATTATAATGTTATACTAAAACTAAAATTAAAATAATGGGAAAAATCCTTAAGATAACATGCAGAAAGAAAAAAACGCAGCTTAAGCACGCAGAATAACATAAGTGGACTTTGAACGATTAATTGCCGCTTTTAACGGTTACGTAATTGTAGCATCCATAATTGTAATCGCGATTAG